GTAACATTTTACCAGATTTAGTGTTACACTTATTGGGTCTCATTCATGAAACACGAGCAGAACGAATTTTTGTGTAAATCGTGTGTAAAGTGGTTCTGGCGTAAATTTTCGGATTCATTAAAATGTTCGTATTTTCCAAATGTTAGTTGGTACACAAGAAATCTACACCTGCTCCCAGCCACGCGTAAATAGTGTGCTTAACACCCGAACGTTTTGCTCATTAATAAGGCTGCATTTTAATTCACCTTAATCGGGTACATATTTGCACAGCATTTTGAAAAAATATTAAATATAGTAATTACAGACGGTTTTTCTTATTATGAGAGCCAGTAATAGCATCTGCGATGGTTGTCCTTCTCCAGTTTGAATACTATTTTTCCGAAGTGAACTAATTCGTTTTTTGCTCTCAAGCTTAATGTCGAACCATTTTCTTCTCACTTCTGGGAATGTTCGATTAACAGATGAAACTCCATTAACTGCATCTGTAATATGCTGCCAAGCTTCCTTTTTTTTTAGGAGCCGATACGCCACTATGTACGCTTGAAAATAAAATGTGGCGTTTTGAATGAACTTCTGATAATAAAACTTAAATTTCTGCATCTGAGAATTTTTTTTTTCATTCGCATTCATGTCATAATATGATGCCCATATATAGTCAGCCGGATTTAATGGGCGGGATTTATGGTAATTGAGAATGAACGTGCACACGCATCCCATTTACGACTGATTGGAATTCATTAACACACACACACATTTCACTATCACATCTGACGTTTACGAAGTATTTGTGAATCAGGAGATGAGTTTTCGGGAAGGTCTCTTTACGCGCAAATCACTCGCATATTTACGAATGTTTCATGAATGAGACCCATTGTCTCTTATTTGTTCCCCACTAAATGTTTTTTTTTTTCACTAAATGTTCAGATTTTATACAATTATTGTGCACTTGTGATTTTTCTAGACTAAATTTTACTGCTGAATTATCCACTAATCTAGTTTATAATAGCATTTTTGTCATAGATTATGACAGGGCCTGAATTTCGTTTTGGAAAATGGGGGGGAAATCCCCCCTTAGATGATTCTCATGGGGGGGATTTTTTTTGTTTGAGGGGGAGAAAGGGGGGGCATTTTTTTCCAAACAAAATTATAACATTTATCTTGCCTAAATGTTTGCGCTCATTGCATTTTTACAACGGTAAATCTGATAAGGCACTTAGAAGTGCACAGAATACACCGAACGCGAATAGAGTGTCAAATACGCGTCTAGTTAGACGCTTGAATCTTCCGCTCGAGTTAAAAATTTTCAACTTGCGTGAAAGACGTTCGATGCGTCTTTGCATTGACTTTGTATGTAATCTACTCGCGCAAATAATTTAATTCGCGTTCGGTGTGAACACACCATTAGTAAACACTTGTTCATTAATAAACAATTAAAATATCTCCTTGCTATTGTTTCCATAATCATTAGGCTACTTTTGCCAGTGCTTTGCGGCAAGCTTCATGTGTGCTGAGGCATATATCCTGCCCCCCAGTAGCCTATATTTAATTTAATTCACATTTATTTGTATAGCATTCTTCACAATACATATCGTTTCAAAGCAGCTTTACAGAAAATGCATGTGTCTAAATGTAGTGACAGTGTAATGCATTTCAATTAATTTTCATTCAGTTTCAAACAATGCATTAAGTTATGGCAGAAACAATGAGCTCATTGAAGTAAAGAATACATGTTGTTAAATGATTAGGAAACAGAAAACTTCAGCATTGGTGCTTTTTTACATACTCAAAATATGACTGAAAAAAAGTCAACAAACTGAAAAAATAAAAATTAGGTAATGTTATATTGTAAAAACTGGTAACATAAAAATTGGTATCGAAAAAAGTATTGTTCAGGAACCGGTATCGAAGTCAAGGTATCTGTATCGAACATTTTGTTACGATAACCAGCCCTATTCATAACTGGCAGCAGGTTTCATCGCAAGTAAACTCCATAAGGACTTTAATGCATAAGAATATAGTCTAGAGAATAAATATATTTAACTTCTTGATGAGGCAAAGGAAATTTAGATATCTGCAAGATCTTCAACGAAATAGCTGTGTCAACTAGTAAATCTCTAGGTGTTTTTAATCACCATAATTTATTGCAAGTACGCTTTGTGAATTTACTCAACAAAATCTGTAAAATTTTCAGAATAATCTATGTGAAAATGGAAATGTTTTCAGATCATGCACCTGTAATGGTCAGTGGTTGCTTGCATATTTGCTGGTCACGTGGACCTTCTGTCAGAAGCCAGCCTAGAATTCAACATCTACAGTATTTATCCTTTCCATGAAAGCGCAAAACTTGTCAAAGCTTTCAAGAAATCTTTAAATGACGTTATAACATCTGCTATGTCCAATTTTTTAAACATCTGGACGCAATAAACCGATACGGAGAACATAAAATTAAAATAAATGTCTTCTTCAGTCACCTTGCAGGTTATTTTTTCCCACTCAAATGACAGCAATAGTGAACATTGCTGCAAACATTTCAACAGCAATGGAATTTATCAGCGAACTGCTCTCAATTCAGAAACTCCATTGTAGACTACCATCCAGAGCAAATCATTTTATTTTCCAAGTGTCTTCTGTGCTGTACTTACCAGTCGCTTGCTGTAACGCGGTTTGGGATCGTCCATTGTCAATTTGTCAGAATAAAGACTCACGCGCAGCCCGCCAGTGAACGGGCAAGTCGCGAGCCAGCGAACGCGCTTCTGTCAGTTTATCCCGTTTTAACCGCCACAAGTTCAATTGTTCTCGGTGGACACTTTATTAGTGTCCGTCTAATCGAAATAATGGCACTTCATATGGATACTGCCTAGATAAAATAATCGCTGTTTTCAAATAGTTGAAAACTCGTCCGCAGCTTTTTTCACATAAAAACGGACCATCACGCTACAAAATATTGTATTATATTTCACACCAAAAAGATTAAAACAGCAGGTCATAATAAAACCATGACAGCTAGGTTGTCAAGCTAAGCGCTGCTGAGGGGAGAGTGAACGAGCATCAGCACCAGCTAACGTTAACCAGCCTACAAACATTACGCGGGTGGTAAAAAAAAAAAAAAATACAAAGAGATATGGGGTTTTAATTATACATTCGGCTTATATGTACAACGTATAATATTGCAGTCACCCATGAGGAGTGAGGCGAGAAATGAAGAGCGTATATTTATCGAGTAACATACGCTAATCTCGGTTCAAGTTTAAAATAAACACACATTTCCACAAGACTTAAACTCGGGCTCACAGTGGGGAAAATCCAGCGGTCAAAATAGTCCTCGTGTATTGTTTACAAATAAAATATTCACTCCGACTAGACTCGTCTAGTAACTTTTATATTCTAACGTTAAGTGAAAGTAAGCCTTATTCAGACAGCTCCACTGTGTGAATTCACGACAAAGTTAATGTAGTAGAATAGATCATTCGCCGCCATTTTCACATCGTCACAAAAACACCACGAAGTAAGCCCCGCCCACTACAGACTTGGCATCCAATCACAGACACATGCGACGCCATCGATTTGACTCCCATTGGTTATTGTCAATGTCACTTCACAGGGAGGCGGTACTAAGAAACAAATAATAGTACAAGAAACTAGACGAGCCATGCTCTCGTTGGCTGAAGTTGCACGCCGATCAAAACAGCTACACAAAGATTGGCTTACATGTGCTGTAAGCTTCGCGTTGCCAACCAATCAAATAGAAAATATCAACACACTCATTCAATTTTAGCAAAATGTATGCAACCAAATTGTTTTTAATTTATTTAATATGCGTAATGTGATTAGTAAAACATAGCTTTTTAAGTACCTTAGATCTTACGTGGCTTGGCGTCCCATCGCCGGCGGACGTCCAGTCCATGACTGCATATAAAGCTCTGGCTTGTGGCGTCTGGTGAAATAAATCTACATTTTCTTCCGAATTAGCCCAGTGTAACTTCACATAAGGTCATCATGAAGTCATCGACATTCCTTTGAGTCCAATAATCCGTTTTGAAATACTCTGATTGATTGTACACATTGAATTTTCACCCGTAATCGACCCCAGGTAACTCCGCATGGTAAAACTTTTCGTTTAACCCAATCGATCAGGAAGTAGTTGCTGATTGGTCAGCAGCTGGTCAGCAGTCATCTAACGCGCAGCGACTCATTGCCATTGGACTAAACATCTGTCGATAACCACAACGTCACAATCAACTCCAGAAAAGTTTATCGCATAAATAAACATTAATAATCATTTATTGTTTTTAAGCCTTGATGAAAGAACGAACAACACAGATTTTTAGACACCTCGGTCTTTTAATTACAACTACTCAGTCTAGACAATAACTCAAGTCAGGCTACTGTATAATTAAACTCCGGTGTCTCCAAAATATACAATACTACTATTATCACTTACAGAAAAATAACTGAAGAAATAAACTAAGTGCTACTCATCTGCATTAAATAAGTAAATGGTCAGTAACAACAGAACAACTCTCATTGAAAATCTCACACATATTTTGACAAACACTAAATTAAAAACATGATTTAAATGTTTAAGTTTTTTTCCAGTAAGGACTAAGTGGGCACAAAATATTTGGTAGTGTAAAATGTTTCACCTGTCAGTTAAAAAAATTGAGGCCTCAAAAACAAAACATAACCTCTTATTTATCTTTTATCATCATACATAGGCTTTATCATAAATTCCCATAAAACAATTAAATAAATTAAAGGGATGGTTTGCCCAAAAATGAAAAATGTGTCATTTACTCAGCCTTGTGTTGTTCCAAACCTGTATGAATTTATTTGAACACAAAAGAAGAAGATATTTTGAAGAATGTTGGTAACAAGACAGTTGACTTCCATACTAGGAATAATACGATGGAAGTCAATGGCTACCATCAACTGTCTTGTTACCAACATTCTTCAAAATATCTTCTTCTTCTTTTGTGTTCAACAGAAGAAAGAAATTCATACAGGTTTGGAACAACATGAGGGTGAGTAAATGATGACAACATTTTTGGGTGCACTGTCCCTTTAAAGCTATTTTTCATACCACAGCCCTAAAATTGACAGCTAGCTATTACATCACATTATACTATGATGCCTCTAACAATGCAAGGCCAACTGATAAGACAGGAAGAATGTAAAAGACCAAATAAGATAAACCAGCACGGGAAAACATGTTATGTGTCAGTAGGGATGCTTATGGTTCACCGGCACTAAGACGCTTCTCTTGATTCTTGATAGAGACTCTGGACTTGGTAGATTAGACAATGTCTTTACCTGAAAAAGACAGGATGTTACTCACAAATAGTCAACATAGAGTTTTATGAATTTAGCTTTATGAATGCTTACCTTGAAGTTTATGTCAGCCAGCTATACACCAGAGAACCACCGATGACCGCAAGAATTGTGCAACACAGCATGATCATCATCTTCTTCTACAAAGTCGGAAGTGAGTGGACAGTGACAGCATGATAATGATATAATAATAGCAGAGGAAAGCAGGGAATGATTGGGAAGGAGAGATTTAGAAGGTGTAGAGAACAGACATATAGAGATGGGGATGAGGGAGAAACCAAAATATAGAGAAGCGAAACAGAAGAAACTCAAAGGATGATGAAAAATAAAACCTGCTGAACATAAAAAAATTGCTGCAAATAGTGTTGTTTATTATATGACACAATTGTTTTACTCCTCATAATTTCCAAGCTCACCCTGCGTGCTTCCTGTTGGAACTTGGCAGCCTTTTTAGTGTCAGCCACAGCTCTTTCCACAAAACCCACGGACTGGTCCATGTTGCTCTCAATTCTGTCAATCATACTTCCCTGTTGACAGATTAGAATAAAATGCTGAGGATATATAATAGACCGGTGTTCAACCTGAATCAAACAGCAGCTGTAATCATAAGGCCTCCGAAATGGGGCTATATCTCTGCTTTATTCTCCACAAAAGACAAACACATGTACCTGATTCTCCACCAGCATTGCAATGTCCACGAACATGTCATGCAACTCTTTTATGCTGCTCTCCAGTCGCATAATATCTTTGTGTCGCGCCTCAATCTCACTTAGTGCCTGTTTTGATATTCCAGAGTCCATAATCTATAGAAAAGGAGAAAGTTGTTTAAATAATAAACACACACTACTGTTCAAAAGTTTAGGATTGGTACAATTTTTTAATGTTTTTTTTTTTGTCTCTTATGCTCATCAAGGCAGCATTTATTTGAACAGAATACAGTAACAATTTTAATATTGTAAAATATTATTACTGTTTAAATTACTGTTTTCTATATTTTAAAATGTAATTTATTCCTGTGATGGCAAAGTTGAATTTTTAGCATCATTACTCCAGTCTTCAGTGTCACATGATCCTTCAGAAATCATTCTAATAAGCTGATTTGGTCCTCAAGAAACATTTCTAATTATTTAAAATTTTGAAAACAGTTGTGCTGCTTAATGTTTTTTTGGAAACCATAATATAGTTTTTCAGGATTATTTTATGAATGGAAAGATCGAAAGAACAACATTTATTTGAAATAGATATTTCTTGTATCAATGTAAAAGTCTTTACTGCCCCTTTTGATAAATTTAAAGGGGTGGTTGATTATGATTTCACTTTTCTAACTTTAGTTAGTGTGTAACGTTGCTGTTTGAGCATAAACAACATCTGCAAAGTCACGACGCTCAAAGTTCAACGCAAAGGGAGATATTCTCTTTTACAGAAATCACTTTTTTAAAGGACTACAACAAACGGTTGGTAGGGACTACACAAGCTTCATCCCGGGTTAGTGACATCACAAACCCTAAAATGTACATAAACTCCGCCCCCGGGAACACAATTTATAGATTATCAAGACATAATATGGTAATCAATGACTAGAAGATGACTACTTATAAGCTACATAAATTCATCAACTAACCATTCAGAAATGTTGTCTACATGTTGTCACTTCTTCTTGAGTCTCTCCATCTTTGTCTGACTCCGGTTTGAACATAAAAGGCTAAAAGTTTTTGAAATTTTCAGTGCATGTCTGTGTGAGGTAAAAGGACGCTGTTGTAGCTCCGCCCTCTGTGCCGGGAGCAGCAGCTCATTTGCATTTAAAGGGACAGACACAAAAACGGTGCGGTTTTGCTCACCCTCAAAAAGTGACAATTTTAACATGCTATGTAAAATATCTGTGGGGCATTTTAAGCTAAAACTTCACATACACACTCTGGGGACATCAGAGATTTACTTGACATCTTGTGAAAAGGGCATTATACCATCCCTTCAATGTATTCTTGCTGAATAAAAGTATTCATTTCTTTGAAAAAAAAAAAAAATCTTACTGACCACAACCTTTTAAACGGCAGTGTAAGAAAAGTATCTTTTAGCTCAAAAACATACAGACAAGTTATGTTCTTTCAACAAAACATCACACAGATAAGTATATAGAATAGCACTCACTCCTGCTGTGAATACTGCAGCGTTACCTCCTTCCAGCATTTCCTCCAGTTCCTCATCAGTAGTGACTTTGCCAGCTGTAAGACAGAAGCCAACATTAGCCTTAAACATGCATATAACATTGCGAACACTGATCTTCTTTTTTAAATCAAAGCCTAAAGAAGATTTGTGTATCTGCTTGTCACTCACTGATCTCCAGCTGTCTTTGGATGCGCCCTTTGCTCTTCTCTTTAAACTCCATTTGGGCTTCATTGTATTTGGTCATCACCTCTACAAACTTCTTAGCAAGAATGGCATGCTAAAATGTAGAAGATAAACACTGTATGAATAAAAAAATAACTAGTTGAAATCATTGTGGGCTTGTGGTAGAGCTAGTAGTTACCTGAGATTTCTTTATCCGTATATCTGCTGAAACCCTCTCCTCGGTGTTAGATGCCAAGTTCTGCTCAATGCCTGTCAAAAAAATCAGAATTTATAGACAAGAGTGCTGTAGCATATTGTCCAATTATTGATATATTTTCATGAACAAGCAATGCAAGAGCTAAAAACTGACTTTTGAGTTTGTTGCGAGCATTGTTGGCCATTTTCTTTATCTCATTAGTAACTGCCTCCAATTCGTCCTGCGTCTCTAGTTGAGAAATGAGATGAGAGATATTTAAAACCTGAACATGGTGGGGAGACGACAAAGAAAAATTATAAATATCTTAAAAATAAAAGTGAAAAATGATTAGACTAACTCTGGTCTGATGTAGGTGCAGAGAGGATGACAGAATACAGTCGCTTTATCTCGCCTATATTTTCATCAATCTTGTCTATACTGCTGCGGATTTCCTCAATCTGTAGAACACATACAGAAATGACCCAATTGTGACCTTCCAATGTCCGCTTTCATTTTCTTACAATGTAGTTAAGTCACATATACCTGAGTGAAGAACTCATCCATAAATTCTTTATTTTCCATTGGAATTTCCACATCATCAGGAGCTTGGTCCGACTTCTATTTTGACATACAGGAACAAAGCAGAAAACTTATTAACTTGGCAGAAACAGTGTTTTCTCTGTGTAAAAACATATTAAACCAGTTTAAGATGGTCTTAACTGGTTTAAGCTGGTCTTCCAGGCTGGTCAAGTCAGAGGGGATACCGACTAAGATTAGCAAACTAGTCTGGTTTAAGTTTTTCTTTCAGCAACCTTTATTTGCTTTTGTCAGTAAACTTATAGATAGAATCCATTGCAGTTTATCTTCAAAATTTCAACAGAAATGGAACATTGCAAAATTTGACATATCAACATATATTTTAAACAGATTTGGCACGACAAGTCAGGATGATGTGGATGCTAGCGAATATCAGACGCGTTTTAATTTAATCGTGATGGCAGTTAATATGTTGTTTACCCTTTTAACCTATTTGTATCATGAGTGTAATTACTGTCAGCTAGATAATCTACGCGTAATTAACCATAACTCCCTACAAAGACCCAGTTAGTCAATACTGAGCTCAGGACCTCCCAGGTAAAGGTCAAACAGTAGCAATTCAGTCCCCAGACCGCCGTTTGAAATATTAACTCATAAGAAAAATCCTCTTACCGCTTTTAGTTGTTCCAGTCGATCCTTCATCTTCGGTTCAATGTAATATGAGACTTCAAATAGCTGTAATGGTCAATAAAGAAGCTAAAAGATTCCAGCGACGATGTTTTCAGACTGGACAACCAGTAAACATGTTTAACTACAGCATGAATACTCCCAGTTAAGAGTTTCAATAGAATCGTAAAGGATTATTGATTTAGACAAAAATATCCTATTTTAACACAAAAATATTCTTTTTTATTGCAAAAAAAAAAACAATATGGCAGTATAGCTTCTATCTTGTAGTTGTCCTAAGTCTATCCTCTCAAAGCGGATTAGAGCAACAGTTGTATGCCGGGTAGCTAATCTTCCTCTGCTGAGGTGCTTCAGTTTCTCCATTAACACAACGATGCAAACAGCGCTTGACACTCAGATCGCACGCAGACGGAGTGACACTTAAAAATAAAATTAAGGAGTTATCAATTCAAACATAAAAATGGAAATAAATGAATACATTTTTAAACAAATTAATATACATAAACTGTTTAATTCATGTTTTAAAATGTAGTTAAATAAATCCCCCAAAAAATTAATTGAACAAAAACTTAACATATTAACTAAATACAACTATTTAATTCCATCCAATAAAAAAGTCGAGGTGGGTTGGGGCACTTTTGAAGTAGGCCTACTGAATGTCTGTATGGAGACAATTGGTAACAACAAGCCAAAGGAAGTGTGGGTAAAATGCTTCTGGACCCACCACTCTGACATTCATTTGTCACCATTTGTGGCTCTGATTGATAATATCCACACATAGACACAAACTCACTCACACATTGGCAGTGTTTTTTGTTAGACCTACACGTTCTTTATACGGGTACACTAAACAAAACATAATTCCATAACACTGTCCATTACCATGCCAAACACTCAGAGTTGTCATGACAGAAACACATAAAGAAGTAAAACTAGAAACATAAGATGTAATGAAGACCAAGTTCCAGTGAAATATCTTCACAGTCCTCTGTCTGTCTTTAAGTCCATCATTTTGGTGTAATTGAGTGGCAGTTTCTCTCCACAGAGGAGGTTATGGGATGTGACTGCATCTGGGAAGAAATACACAATTGAGTTTAGAGTTGCAGTGTGTCCCTTCCATTTGTTTATGTAAAAATAATTATGTTCATGAAGGACAAAAGTAGCAAAAATGGACAGCATGAGAAGTCCTTCACAATGTTAAAAGGCAAACAATCATATAAAGTCAGGAGATAGCTTTTTTGTGTGACTGGGTATGTTTATGCATAAACCCAAGTAATAAAGAAAATCTAACAATATGGATGATAAATTCAATATCTATACTTATGACACTTCTCTCCACTAACTAAACAGAGCTGGCCACATGTTCTGTTAAACTAAAAAGAGAAAAAGTCATTATTGGAAGGAAACAAGTTACAATTTGACAGTTAAAATCAATAGACTTTAATCATTCTTTTTAATAAAAGAAATAATTTACCTGTTGAGAGTGTGTTGACAGTGTAGTTGGATCCTTGAGCTCCAGAAAACCAGTAATGAGGTGGCTTTGACAGTTACAGATTTGAAAACAAAAAAGGCGGGAAGAACCCTAAACTTTTTATAATTTATTATAAAACGGTTCAAGACGACATGGCTCTAAATAGAACTGTTACTAAGTGTAAATAACCATTTTTTTGATGGTTATAAGACAACAACAAAGATTTCACATCCCTTCAAATAAATAAATAAAGATATATGAAGATTGTATCTTAAATATGCATCATTTTTATGAAGCTGTCCAAAATATTGCAATTTAAAAACAAGAGGCAGGTGACTGAAAGATTTGGACAGAGCATTAATTTATTATATACGGCACACAAGTATTTAGTCTTTGTACAGTTCTCACAAGGACAAATAAAATGTTTTACCTGTAAGGATACAATGTGAGAAACTCAACACTTGCTGAAGTGCTTTTGTTTGTTACAACTCTCTTTATTTAAACCCACTGGAGGGTCAAAATATGAAAGGAAGGAAGAAAATGGGGAGGTTTGACTGCTGCAAAATGAGAATATAACATTGGCCTCAACTTGGTTCTCCTGCCATTAGACACTTTTTTATTACACAACTGACCTCAGTTTCTGTGTGAGGTTGTGCACATGGGCACATGTTCAAAGTCGAAATGACAGCTGTAGATGTACAGAGAAATGTTTTAATGCGAGACACCACTTCAAAGCTGCTGTAATTTTTATTTTTTTATGTGTGAACTTAATATCAGAACTGAGCATATATATGTATGACCAAGTTTAAAGAAATCGAAAAAGTATGTGCATCTTCAAATAAGAATTCAGTCCCTGGGCATTGAAAAGGTGCACTCAGCACAACTGTAACTGTCTAAAACCAATTCTTCTTTATGCAATTGAAACTGTGATTATTGGTAAGAGAGCATGTTGAAGACACTGTGAATTGTCACTGTGTTGAGATGAGACAGTCCATGAAGCATGTTTATCTGTAGAGATAGTCAGCTTGAATGTTGGCAGCGATCTCAGCCTCCCACTTATCTCCATTGTTGAGGAGCTTCTCCTTATTATAAAGCAGTTCCTCATGAGTCTCTGTGGAGAACTCAAAGTTGGGGCCCTGAAAAGACAGAGGAGTAGAGGTAAACATTAACTTCAGGGAATATGGTCATGTACAATGTAATATGGCAAATTAAATAATACTGCATCCCAAGCATGTACACTGCTTATTTTCCCTTATGTACCCGCTCATGCTGTACAATATCACAATACTTATCCAAATAATTTAATGCACACTGTATAATATATACACTAATGTTCAAAAGTTTGGGGTCAGTAAGATTGTTTACAACAAATTAAAGCTGCAGTCCATAACTTTTGGCGATCTAGCGGTTAATAAACCGAACTGCATGCGTCTTGCGGAAGAACATTGCAGCCGGAGCTATTTCTCTCTGTTTATGTCTATGACGAGTCAAGCAGGTACTGGGCTACTTTGCAGTCTAAAATAGTCAGAATATAAACGCTTATTACAGGTGTTCCGTAGTGATTCAGGATAAGACAAAAAAACACAGTTAGGAAAATGGATTCATGATGTACTCGCTTATAAATTTTGAACACACAAAAAGTTACGGACTCCAGCTTTAAGCAAGGATGCATTAAATTGATCAGTAAAGATACAGAAAATTACAAAAGATTTCGATTTCAAATAAATGCTTTTTTTTTTAAACTGTTTATTCATCAATGAATCCTAAAAAAATATCACTGTTTCCACAAAAATATTAAGCAGCACAACTGTTTTCATCTTTGATAATAATAAGAAATGTTTCTTGAGGACCAAATCAGCATATTAGAATGATTTCTGAAGGATCATGTGACACTGAAGACTAGAGAAATGGTGCTGAAAATTCAGCTTTAACATCACAGGAATAAATTACATTTTAAAATATATTCTAATAGAAATTAATTTAAAATTGTAATAGTATTTCACAATACTGTTTTCACTGTATTTTTGATCAAATAAACGCCCTTGGTGAACATAAGAGATCACATTACAAAAATCTTACTGACCCTAAACTTTTGAATGGTTATGTATATGCTATTAGTTTTTTCTTACTTTTTTTTTTATATTGTGCTGTAGTATCTCTCTGACAGCTCTAAAAAATAAATTTTGTAAACTTTTTTTCCACAGATTTCCTAGAAACCAGTTCGAACACCTCTGCTTTAAGGCATGTTGTCTGAAAACCCATTAAACAACTTACTAAGTGACGGGATGAGCAAGTGAAATGTGTGCTGCTAGATGCTCACCTCTACAATAGCATCCACAGGACAGGCCTCCTGGCAAAAGCCACAGTAGATGCATTTGGTCATGTCTATGTCATAGCGCGTTGTTCTCCTGCTGCCGTCAGCACGAGGTTCTGCCTCAATTGTAATAGCCTGAGTGAGAGAATTAAGGTGTCCCCTTGCATACATTACTTTTATTTCCTTGTAATTACTCTTCCTATTCACATGTGCAAATAAATAAACATTCATGCAATTACTGCTTGTCATTACAGTGTCATGATATATCAGGATGAACAAGGGCAGTTAGAACGAGAGTGTACCTGGGCTGGGCAAACGGCCTCACAAAGTTTACATGCAATGCATCGCTCCTCTCCAGAGGGGTACCTACGCAGAGCATGTTCGCCACGGAAACGGGGAGACAGAGGGCCCTTCTCAAATGGGTAGTTGATTGTGGCAGGTTCACGGAAAAGATAGCTCATGGTCATTCCCAAACCTGCATCAACACAAATATCAGGTGGCTCCTACTTTTTCGAGTTATCGGGATCATTTGTATGAAGACTTTATGGAAGATGAAAGGCTTATGTTGTTACTGACCTCTGAACAGCTCTGTCCACAGAAGAGTCTGTGCTGCACGGTCCGTGATGGACTTCATATCTGTGGCATCTTCCTGATTATTAACATACTCTGCATATAGAAAAAGTGAGTTATAAAATTCTAATTATGAGACAAACTCGCAACTGTGAGAAAAAATTGTGAAATGAAAAAGTCACAATTATCTTTTTTATTTTTTGCAGAAACATGGTTCCATTAAACATGATGTGATAGGAAAAGGTTTTATTATCATGAACATATATTAGAGTGGCTCCTGTTTTTGTACTATGAGATACTTACTTATCCCTGCTCTGTGTGCGGATAGGCTGAGAGGACGTGCAAGACATTGACTGGCCAGAAATGACCCTAAGGAGTAAATATATAACATCACACATCTGTGAGCCAAGACTTTATTTTGATCACCACATATTAAGATATACATAAATGCCACTGTATTCGTATGCTTCTATTTCATAACCCCACCTGGCCTTGATACGGTGTAGACCACACGTAACGCAGCAGACATCTCAGTGAAGTGCGCTGTGGGCAATAGCGACAAGAATGAGGTAGTAGGTTTTTCATGTGTATTTGCTCAGGTTACAACACTAAACATTCTGGTGGACATCTACTGACAATTTTTAAACATCTAATTAAAAAAAATAAAGAAAATTAGGTAGTTACACAAAATAGTGTGCCACGATTTACTTCCCCTTACAGAACGTAAACAAAAAACCCAAACCATTGGTTCCGCTCATATCGCGAGGCAGCAGATACGTTACATAAATGTGGTTAATTTGACAACCACACATCAATTATCACTAATTAATCGTTAGACAGCATGTAACACGTCCATAATAATGCATAAAGCACTGTTTGGACTGCAGCAAGTGGCTTAGGACACGAACTCAAGCATATCAAGCAGACTAGCTTTCGACACATTTACTACACAGTTCAGTTTCATAAAAACATCAATGTGTATTTACATATTTAATATTTGCATAACTATCTGTAACTCGGTGTTTATTTATTCGATGGCAAATGTTGCTCGTGCAGTGTTTGTAACGTTAGTAGCTTAACCACAGGCAGATTTCTCAAGGACTTTCAATGACTAGTATACTGCTATTAATCGTATAACCTTTAAACCAATATTTTACTTCTTAATATTGAATTAATTATATCGGTTGCACAAAATGCATTGTGTGCTCACTAAAAAAAAAGAGACAAAAAATACAGTTGAGTTTAAAAATCAGTTCGTACTCACCGGACAGTCGCTATTTGGCCTTCTCAACCAGAACAGCGGACGATTGAGGAAATGCACACGGAGAACGCCGGAAGTGAGAGTTTCTTACAAAATATAAGACAGAACAGAATTACAAATAAGGATACAAAATTACAATATTATTTTAAATATTAAATAAAAAATAATAAAATTTATAAAACGGCCTTTATAATCAGATTTGTATTGTTCCACTATCATAAAATAATTCAATAAATGTAGTTCAGGATTTGTCTTTTTTTTGTTTTTTGTTTTTGTATAATGACATTTTATTAAAATTTCTTAACAGATCCTTCACTCAAACATTTGATATATATTTTTTGTCAACATTGTTTCAGCATTGCACAATGATAATGACTTACCATAGTTATGAAAATTATGTATAGTTCAGACAGACACGACGAGTTATACACTACAATTTGGGTTCTGCAGGTGTTTAAAGTCCTAAAATGAAGATTTCTGTGTAAGGATTAAAACGATTTCTCTTATAATGCTCTGTTGCACACAACCATTAGTGCCGTCACTGTAAAAACGGCTGAATGTGTTCAATGGTTAAAGCTTAATGAAGCAGGTTAAGTTTAATTAAAGAAAGCTGTGACGTATGTCCTCATGTAATCACGACATTCAGTGCTCTCGTATCACATATCCAGAAAACAGCCGAGTGTGAAGCTTTCCTTTTTCTATGCTAATTGTTGGGTTTATCTGTTGGCTAACTTAGGTCTCTGCTTCGGTGACAAAGTAAGTCAACCATCTTCTCTATACCCTATAATGTTCTGTGAAGGATAAATAAAAATTAAATGTGATATGCTGTTTTATACACTTAAAAATAAAGTTTTTTTTAAATTAGCATTGATGGTTCCTTTAAAGAATCTTTAACATCCATGGAAACTATTGCACAAAAGGTTATTTATCGTGGAAAAGTTTCTTTAGATTATAAAATGTTCTTCACACTAAGATTTAAAAAAAAAGTTTCTTTGGCAAACTCAAAATCACTAAGTCTCCTTTTGAAACTTTTATTTTTATTTATCCTACTCAGGTTGATTAGACTATAAGCAGGGCTTGACTTTAACAACAACACTTGTTGTTAACATGTGGTGTGTAACACAGTTGTCATGATTATTCTTAGTTTCACCCTCATGGACTTTTAGTTTGTATCCTTCAGTCACATGTCTCATTTGTTCTCGGTTTCCCGCCACTTGTTTATCTCCTTGGTTACTCGTTGCATTCTAGTTTATTTCTATAGTTATTCATCAGCTCCCTCATTTGAATCACCTGTGGTAAACAATCATCTATGTTTTCACTTAGCATATGCCTGTGTTTTAGTTCTCATTTGTCGGTTCTCGTTAATGCTTATGGTCAGTTGGTGTAGTTCTCTTTCATTTAATAAAGTCTGTTCACTTTTATCTTCATCTTCGCATTACCTACACCACACTCAGCCAAAGTGGGACAGCAGTCACTCCTACTAGCCACTTTGGCAGGTTGAATTTTATATGTAATATACATTTTTCAATTGTAGTCTTTTAAAAAGGCACCTGAAATAATAAATTAAGTGCAATGTAGTGTTGTCAAAAATATTAGATGCATAAATATCTATACATATACTGAAATATGTGAAACACTTCAATACCACAGAATAGATACTCATCTCTCAGACAACGAGTTGACACAAACCCGTGTCCCTTTACTCACTCGTTTAATTTGCTCCGGATGAATATTGCTGGTGTTACATGGCTTGGATTTCTGCGTGGGATTGTGCATAATTTTAATAATTCCTGCAGATATTGTGTGCACACACATAAAGGTGCCTCTCAGTAATAAATTTAGTTGTTGTTTTTTTTGCTGCTTATTGCGCTTAAACAGTCCAATACTCACAAAAGAACGACAAAATGCCAGTCTTGGCGAGTATTCACGTAAACAGTCAGTTGTGTTTTAACTTTCAATTGAATCAGTGTCCGTGCATCAGGTCTTAAAGTGACAGCAGCTTAATATCATCTCATAATTTGGCAGCAGGTATATCAAAAATATCTATATGGCAGTTTGCCCACATTGTATCGATGTCAAAATTGTGGCCATTGAAAATGCAGAGTGGCTAGTAACTTTGGAAAACAGCTATAGCCACAGTCGCTGGTGAGCAAAAAAGTTGCTGTCAAGCCCTGGCTATAAGTATGTAATTCTTATTGCTAAATTGATTCTTGATTCCTAGAATCTGTGAAATGATGTATCTTATTCCTTTCAGTGAACACTTCAAGTAATATAACGGAATCAGAGGAGAATTATTGGTCCAGAATTGAGAAGTCTGTTCTCGCTCCCATTCTCACAACTGAGATGGTACTGGGTGTTTTGGGAAATGGACTGGTTTTGATAGTTAAAATAGTGGTAAGAATAATGTATAATGTATAATTTTATGTTTTTTTCTTTTTAATCTGTAATGTTTTTCCCCCCTTAGAGAATGTTTTAAAATACAATGACCTACCTCATGCCTTTATTTATTTTATTTTCTGCTTTCTCACAGTGTAAAGACCATTATCAGTGTCTTTACTGGCTGCCACTTTTCAGTCTCACGCTCTCAGATTTCTTCTGCTCCATCCTCATAATCTGTGGCTCCCTCTTAGCTGTACTGAGTGATGGTCAGATTTCACCGTGGTGTGAGGTAGTGAGCCTGCTAAAGTTCACCTTCATCACCTCTTCCATTGGAAGTATAGGTATGGCTGACATTGAACAATTTATGGAGTTAATTATAGCTCTATCTTTACAAATACTGCTTTCATTGTCATTAGTAATAAAGGACAATATATAAACAGCCTGAATGGGTGCAGACAGGTGCGTTGGACACAGGATATATTACGAGGAAAGAAGAAGAAATCTTGCACACAACCATAGCTTTCATGAAACCAAGTATTTATCTAACAAAAGTAATGTGACCGTCTTCAGATATTCAGAAAATTTGCTGTTTTAATTAATACTTCTTACAAGCAATACCAGTGTTTGAGATTTTTCTTCTTTCATCATAGTTAATAATAAAATATTTATTATTTTTAGGGCTGTCAAACGATTAATCACGATTAATCGCATCCAAAATAAAAGTTTGTGTTTACATAATATATGTGTGTGTACTGTGTATAATTAATTTGTATATAAATGCACACACGTATATATTTAAGAAAAATGTTATTTATATATAAAATGTTTATATTTATATAAAGTATACATTATATATAGGCTACATTCAGTCTATATACAGTATACATGCAAATATTTCTTAAATACACATGCATGTGTGGGTATTTATGTATTAAGAATAATTATACACAGTACACACACATATATTATGTAAACACAAACTTTTATTTTGGATGCGATTAATCGTTTGACAGCCCTATGGTTATTTAAAATGTACTTTAGTTTCAAAGATTGATTCAAATATTTTTTGTTTGTTTAAATTAAAACAAATTAGAGTTATTCTGAGAACTAAACTCCTGTTTGAGCCTTATTTTCTTTCATCTATAAATGTTTATAAAATCTATTAAAAAAAGTTTTCTATAAAAAGAGTTATGCTAGAGGGAGGGGGCTAAAAGGGTAAAATTCTTAGAAGAAACTAGAAAACAAAATTATTCTGAGAACTAAACTCCTTGTTTGAGACTTTAAAAAATCTAAATTATCTATATATAAAACTGTGTTATGTCACATTTATACAATTCTTGTCCTCGGCTTGGGATTTTTTTTCTTCTTTCATTATTATTTATTTGGTTATTTAATTTTTATTTGTTTTTTTAAAAAAGGGTAAAATTCTTAAAAGATTAAGGCAAGCCTTTGAACTTTATTTTCAAATATTTGTTTTAATTAAATTGAATTAGAAAGCGAAGTTATTCTGAAAACTAAACTCATTGTTTTAGCCTTAAAAAATAAATCTAAATTATCTATAAAAAAAGAGTTGTCACAATTACACAGTTCTTTGTCCTTAGCTTGGGATTTTTCTTCATTTGTTATAATTAGTAATAAAATGTTTTTTATTATTAATTAAATATTTAGTTATTTAAAAGGGGTAAAATTGTTAATATGATTGAAGCAAGTCCTTTAACTTTAAATTTCAAAGTTTTCAAAAATAGAAAAATTAAGGTGAATATTCTGAGAACTAAACTCCTCCAAGTTATATGAGTTTGGTTCCAAAACGCGATAAACGCCTCTTTTTTTTCACTGTAGGCTATACAATCAGTATTGTATCTGGTTGGTATTGAAAAGTCAATGTTTAATTTTAAGTAAAATGCGATATCCGCCGTGTTATTCTGTCATGTTTTCTCCCTTTCTTTCCAAACCGCGACAAACGCCAGTCTCCCTTCTCTGCAGAATGCGGTAAATCCGCTCTCAACCAATCACAACGCACCATTCCACGAAACGTAAACAGTAACGGCAGCGCCTTAAATACACCCGGCTTCCTAGTTCTTCTTATCTATTTTGTACTTTTCGATCAACAAACAAACAAAAAAAGAATAATTTTGACGGCATTGATGAACCTGTGGTTGTTTCTGCGGTGGGTAAGAAACGCAAGGCATCGAAATCGAATCACGTGAGGAGATTAAGAAGATGAGGCACTCGGGAGGAGGAAAAATGTTTTCAATCTTCTTTACAGTTCTTAATAAATAATAAACTTACGTTGTTGTGTATTTTCAACAGTTTCAATATGAAAAAGAAAAAAAACTTTTATATTGATTCAATGGATTAATTGCATTTTGAATAAAAAAAAATGGATTTATTGCATTTTGGGGGAAAAAAATAATCCGTTTTTATAATAAATCTTTGAAAATCAAAACCTGGATTTTTATTTATTTTTTATTATGACCTACAAATGCTATGTGAAAGTTTGAAACAGAAAATAGTGGTTTTCATCTTTCCACTTTCTTGAGTAAAGAAAACACATTTTTACTCAAATTAATCTAAATGGATTTATTGCGTTTTGGAACCAAACTCTTCATATATAAAAGTGTAATGTCACAATTATAGCAATCTTTTCTTCTTTGTCCTCAGCTATTGTCTGTGTTCAGAGATGTACGGGCATTCCTTCCAAAGGTACAAGACTGTCTATTGTCATGGCAGTTGCATGTGTGGCATCATGGTGCATTGGAGCTATATTTGGAGCAGTGCCAGTAGTCTATGACTGGATAAGGTGCGTAAAGATGCTCAGAGATACTCCAAATACTGTATATGCATCTACATAACTTCTCACTGTTCTCTGCGTTCCATGTTCAGGTATGATCCAGCTGAAATGCTGTGTGCAGTGTTCTGGGAGAGCAGTTACTCTGACATGCTGGTTTACATCCTCTGTGCCTTCTCCATCTCCATCTTCATCCCATTCCTCCTCATACTCTGCTGCTCCATCCTGACCTATGTAGGCTTTGGGGAAGAGTGTTCCAGGTTTGTAGAGTTGGAAGTGGTGAACACAGAGGTTTTCATAAGGATTTTAAGGTCATTTCCTGTGATATCAGTTTGCACGTTTGATCTGTTTGTATAGCCAGGATGACCTGTCCTCTATCACGCCACTACTGGTGATCGTGTATCTGTTCTGCTATGCTCCATTTGCTGCATCTGAGGTGAGAAAAGAATGGAAAAATCTTCTGTTCTGTGTGTTTTTCAGTGGCCTCTCTGTCAAAGGAAGGATCGATTTGAATGTGTTTGTCCATGATAAAAATTCTGCTCATTCTTGTTGTCCTAGTTGGTTCTCCTTGGAAGGCTTGATCTGTCCCCTTCTCCTGAGTGGCTGAGATCACTATCATCAGTAATGGCATATCTGGACTGTTGTTTAAACCCATTCATCTACTGCACAAATAAAGGCTTCCGAGAAGCAGTATTCATACTGTTTTGGAAAAAAAGGAGATCAACTTTTCCAGAGCCAGTGCTGACTGGGATTACAAGGCTTGAAATATGAAGATTAGTTACAAGCAAAACAATGATAAGAACGTTTTTTTTTTCTTTCTGTGCAACACTTTGTAATGCATCACATTATGATTTTTAATTGTAACAAATGACACACTTTTCTATGACTACATGTGCTGAGATACCAATATGCAGTGTGTTTTTGGTCGTTGTTTTAATGAGTCTAGTTAAGGCAAGAATAATGGCTGTTCATCTGTATATTGTGCATTTACATTCATTTTTAGTCTTCAACTTAAAAACTGGAAAATGAGACTTAGGGATATTAGGAACTTGCATAAACGTTTAGCAGTAAGACGTACTGTTTATATATATATATAAAGAGAGAGAGAGTTACTTAAAAATTTAGAAATATATATATATAGAAATGAACTATAGACGCTTTACAATAAGGTTTCATTAGTTAACATCATAAGGCCTAAATTAGTTAACATTACTTCTACAGCATTGATTAATGTTTGTTAATTTAATCATTTACTAATGATTAATTAAAGGTGTATTGGTTAGTTAATGCACTGTTAAGTAACAAACAAATAATGAACAGCTGTATTTGTATTAACTAACGTTAACAAAGAAAGATGAATAAATACAGTAATGAATGTATTGCTCGTGGATATTAACCTTATAGTAAAGTGTTACCAAAATATATAGCCATATATATATATATAGATAGATAAAGAGAGAGAGTTGGTAAAAAAATACTGTATTATAGGGATTCAGTCAAAACAGCCTATACATAAATGGCTCCTGTTTTTTTTGTTAGGAGAAATATGCCTGAGAAAAAGAAAAGGGATTGCAAAAATGAATCAGGAGGATGAAACTGGTCAAAGAATATCATCAGATCAGTGTGTATTTACAAACTCGTTGATCTCATTAAAATCATTAGACATATTTGTACAATCTGTAGCCTAAGCTGTCAGTGTGACATAATGTTACTGACAAATAATACAAAATATAGCATATTATGTTCATTGTCTTATTATTCGGTTGTATTGTGTTCACACAGTAGGCCTACGTACTAGGCCTACTTATTAAATGACATGTATGAGCATTTATGAAGAGCGTTTGTGTGCATTTTCACTAAGGCGAGTGAGAAAACAAAAACTGTAATGAAACTGCAGAATGTCGCAAACTTTGGACAAGAAATGTCCAGTGAGATTTTGAAACACCCAGTACTCTGCAAGAGAATGATCCAGAAGCTTCAGAACCACGAAACCAGCGCAGGACAGCACCGCCAACCACAGGTAGCGCATGGACTGCGTGTCTCCGTGGCTCATCTGCGCTCGGACGCCTTTGAACACGGCGCAGGAGACGTGAAAACCCAGAGCTACCTCAAACCCTCGGTCGTGAAAGAGCGCCAGGCCATAGCTGAGGATAGAGCACGATTCGACCATTAAAGCGTAACGAGATGACCAGCCTTGGTCAATGACATTACACCACACCAGCACCCACGCAAAAATAGGTAAAGTGAACCACTGGTCCAAAACGGAGGGCGCGCGCCGTAGGGTGGCCAAGCGGACCCACTGCACCGGTCCATATGCGACTGCCATGAGCGCAAACACGTCTTTGGTGTAAGCGGCTCCACTGCTGTTTTTACCGTCTGACATCCGTTGCAAGATCCAATAGATTCCCAATAATATGTATCCTAAATTTATCAGACAGTTAAACGGCATGGCCAAGAAGGCAGGGAGGTCGTCTACTTTCTTCTCCGCATAGTGATCATAAGTGACATCCACCAAAACTTTGTCGAAAATGTGAGTGTTTGCAAGCGCTATGCAAAACAGGAAGGGCACGAGAACGTGGGCGACCGCTGACATCGGCATTTTTTTTAAAAGAAATACAATTCCGTTTAAAGCGACAGCAAGAAAACATGTGGGATATATTGTGTACAAAGTACAAAACAGTGGTTGTTTTCCGCAATCTAGATCACGTGACGACCACTATAGGCTTTCATTGGTTGCCACAGTGACCTTGGAACTCTCCGAATTAGTATACAACCATTCTACTATTTGTTCTTGTAGGCTATAAATAAAATGTATTTATTATGTCTATGGGATATTATGTGTACACTGTACAGTAGGCATATTTTATAAATGGAATAGCCTTTACCCTGATGAGTCTGACTTAGGCCTACTGCATTTGCCAAAATATGCAGCCAAGAACACTGTAGGCTATATTCCAGTATACTTTCACCACTTTCAAAAATCAAGACATTTACAAAAATTTGGATTGAAAATGGAAATGAGCGTCTATCATGTTTATTTTTTAGATAATAACTAGCCTATGCTACTCTAAATATTGGTTGATTGGAATGTTGTTCCGGGATCCTCTGAATGGATCCTCCAGAACGTTGTACTAGGTGAAATCATGTTCAGCTCTGAAATTACACATGCCAGTTGATGTGGTCATATGACTCCCTCCCTCCCTCCCTCCATCCATCCATCCATCCATCCATCCATCCATTCAGCCAGTGGTTCTCCCCCAGGGGGTCTCAGATGACTTAATAATTACTTAGACAATACAACTAAAAATATGTATTTCTTATTTTAATTAAAACTGTCAAAACTACAAAACCGGTCTTGAAAAAGAAAGCCTATTTTAAAATGGTGACGAATATACATTTTTATACAGTTTTTTTTTATTCGCTTTGGTACTATTTTCACAAGTAAGGTGTACATTTTCACAACTCTTAGTACAAAAATCCAAACTGATCACACTTGTAACGCAGCTAGTCATTCTTTCAAAACCTGATGTAATGCTTTCAGTCAGTTGCACGTTTTCAGTCCGTTGCACATGTTTTCAGTCCACATAATCATGGTTTCAAACACAAGATTATTGTAATATGTAATGAGAACATTTTGTTCTCTTACGAGAGGTTCTCTCGTATTGCGTAAGCTAGCTTATGCTACGGGAAAGATTCATCTTTTCTGAGAAATTGAAGCCAAAAAATTATCCTATAATTTTGTATCCATTGTCAACGCAGTTCAGCTGCAGCAGACCAAGAGCGGGCTAGCTAGCAGCTCATTGGTTCGCTCACAGAGAACTGCTTAAGCCTATGAGGAGACGCGAATGAACTCTCGGCCAATGAGAGTCTGACCTGCTCTCATTGCGTTAGAGCCCGCCGAAACGGGCGTGGTCAGAGAGTATAAATTCGCCTCTCAGGCTGTAAACTCTGATTTTCATCTCTTCAGCGAGGCTACACGCATCTGCTGATCCTGAGAGAAGCCGCCGTCGTCGAAAAGGCAACTCTAGCGAGCATCTGGGAGACTGAGGAAGCCGGCCGTCTTCGCCAACTTCAGCCGTCCTGCGAGCTAGTGCCATCCGACGGATTTGTATCCTTTTTACGAAAAAGCTTCCTGTATTGTGTGTATTGTATCTAAAAGAGCCGAGCGTCTTTGTAAAGATGTCTCGTAAATCCTCCTGCGGTTCTTGCCGCGCTCCCCTCGAGACTGGAGACCGCCACGTCATCTGCACTCTCTGCCTCGGATTGGAGCACGCCGAGCTCGCCCTCGCCGATGGCGGCTGCGATCTCTGCGACGAGATGCCGTTGTCGACCCTGCGGGCTCGACTTCAGGCCACTAAAGCTGCTTCCGCGCCGCCTTCGACTTCGCCGCGTAAGAAGAAACGCCGCTCTCAGAGGCCGCCGGAACCCCAGCTGGAAGCGTTCATCCCGCCGGAGCCTATCGCCTCCCGCTCTCCTTCTCCGCCGCTTCCGGACGTACAGTTGCCGCCGAGTGGCCGCTCTGTCGCCTCCGATGACGCCGCGGACATCAAGGATACCTGTTCGCTTCTCGCTTCAGACAGTGATGAATGGTCCGGTTCTCACACCTCCTCGGCCCGAGAATCCTCTGGGACCCGCGCTGGAATCGAGGAGGAATTAGTGCGCCTCCTCTCACAGGCCGTCGAATGCCTCTGGCTCGATTGGTCCCCTCCCCCCGAGCAGACCATCAACCGTATGGACGGCAGCTAATTCCGCCAGCGCTCGACTCCCGTCACTAAACGGGCCGCGCCCTTCCTGCCTGAACTGCACGCGGAACTCACGAAGTCCTGGAATGCCCCGCTCTCTGCCAGAACTCGCTCTGACTCTTCCGCCCCACTTCGCGTTGTGGACAAGCCGCAGAAAAGGGCTATCTCTCCATTCCCCCTGTAGAGGACCTGGTCGCCGCACATTTATGCCCGCCTTCCACGAGATGGCGCTCATCACCTGTGCTTCCTTCTAAAGCCTGCAGAGCGACTTCGAGCTTTCACGCCCGCGCTTACTCTGCCGCCGGCCAAGCAGCCTCTGCACTCCACTCCATGTCCGTCCTTCAGATTCTACAGGGCGATTTACTTCGTGAATGGGACGAGAGCGGAAAAAATCCCCCCTCAGTCGCGGATTTGAGGAGCGCCACGGACATTGCCCTTCGCGCTACAAAATCTGCTGCTCAAGCCCTGGGGAAATGCATGGCCGCCATTTGTGTGTCTGAAAGACATTTGTGGCTCACACTCGCCGACATGGGAGATTCTGAACGCGCCGCCTTTCTCAACGCCCCGCTCTCTCCATCCGGCCTCTTCGGATCTGCTGTCACGGGTATCGTTGACCGTTTCTCCGAAGTGCAGAAAGCCTCCCAGGCCATGAATCTCTTTCTGCCTCATCGCGCTAGCTCCTCTGCAGGCCGCTCACGTGACCAGCCTCCTGCACGAGCCCCACCCCAGCGCCCAGCTCAGCACAGTCAGACTTCTCAGCGACGCCAGGGCGGCCACCCTCGTTCTCGCTCTGACAGCCGCCACAGACCGCCGCCTCCCCGGGGGCCTCGGCCTAGGATCACGCTGAAACCTGATCACTCGAAGTCTGCCTAGCACAGCTGAGAAAAAGACGGCGCTCTCCCGCCGCGGCCGGACCGCCGTCAAAGTTTCGCCCTCTGTTAGTCCCCGCTCACGCGGCTACTACAGCAGTGTACCCCGCCATTACCAAGCCGGTCCCCTTTCCCGCTTGCATGAGCACAAACGCTGTTTTCACTGCGACCCAGAGAAATCTCAAAAAGAGCATAAAAGCCTCCTGTGTAGAAAATGTGCCCACAACACTGTGTTCACTCATACACAAAAGCATTTCAGTTCCCGTGTTTCTCACAGAGCCCACTCTCATAAAGTGGTCCCAACCCGCTCGAGTTTCAGAGTGCATAAGCACGCCCACGAGCCCGTGTGCGCGTCCTACCTCTGCTCACTCTGTTACATGGCCCTTAAACTCCTCTCTGAGTGTAAGTCCCGCTGTCATAAACACTGTGTGCAGCAATGGGGACCATGTAGCCATTCACCCCTTAGCGTTACGCTTCAAAGCGTGGGAAGCTATTCCGAGAATTTCCCAGTGGGTGCTAAACACAATAAGGCTAGGCTATCGCTTACAGTTTCACCGCCGCCCTCCACGTTTCCGAGCGCGGCTAGAAACTATTGTGAACCCAGAAGCAGTGACTCTGCTCCGTTCAGAGAAACGGAGCAGAGTGCAAAAGGGCTATAGAGAGAGTTCCTCTATCTATGAGCGAGTCGGGGTTTTACGGCCGATATTTTCTGGTTCCAAAGAAAGACGGCGGCCTCAGACCAATCTTAGACCTCAGATTTCTGAACAAAGTTCTCATGAAGAGACCGTTCAAAATGCTCACTATCAGAAAACTCCTCGCGCATGTGCGCCAGGGGGACTGGTTCATTTCACTAGATCTGAAAGATGCTTACTTTCAGATTCAGATAAATCCCCTTCACAGGCCATTCTTACGTTTCGCCTTCGAAGGCCAGGTTTATCAATACACCGTCCTTCCGTTCGGCCTATTCCTAGCACCCCGCACGTTCACGAAGTGCATGGATGCGGTGCTCGCCCCCCTGCGGAGTCAGGGGCTGCGAATACTGAACTATTTGGACGACTGGCTGATTTTGGCACAATCACAGAGAGAGCTACTGTCTCATCGTACAGTTCTCCTCGACCATCTGAAAGGTTTGGGCCTCTCTGTCAACTGGAGAAAGAGCGCACTTCAACCCAGTCAGACTATCTCCTTCTTGGGTATAGAGCTAGACTCGGTCACGATGAACATGAACACGATGAACACCGCGCGCGCGCCGTGTTCAGCGTCTCGCCGCATCTTTTCAGATGAACAGACTCACACCTCTGAAAACTTTTCAGAAGGCGTTGGGTTACATGGCCTCAGCCTCCGCAGTGCTCCAGCTGGGGTTACTGCGCATGCGCCCGCTTCAGCTCTGGTTGAAGAGCCGTGTGTCTCACCGCGCGTGGACCACGGGCCGCCAGCTGATAAAGGTAACGCAGACCTGTATCACAGCTCTGCAGCCGTGGGCCGTGGCAGAATGGTTTCAGCGGGGCGTTTCCATGGGGACCTTTTCTCGCCGAAAAGTCATTTCGACAGACGCATCCAACACGGGTTGGGGTGCGGTCTGCGAGGGCTCACCGGCCTTCGGCCCCTGGTCAGCTCAGGAGAGTCTCCTCCACATAAACTGTTTGGAGATGCTGGCGGTCGAGAATGCGCTCACGCGCTTTCTTCCGCGCATTCACGGTCACCACGTGCTGATCCGTTCGGACAATATAGCCGTGGTCTCCTATCTAAACCGTCAAGGCGGAGTCAGATCAAGGAATCTCTTCCAGCTGACAGAACGCATCTTAGTTTGGTCTCAGTGTCACCAGCTCTCGCTCAGAGCGACGCACGTGCCGGGTCATCTGAACGACGGTCCAGACAGTCTGTCCAGGAACACCATTCCCTCCCCGAGAACACCCACTGCCCAATATTTTTTTCAAAGAGCGAGGACGCGCTAGCCCAGACCTGGCCCAGCCGCCCGCTTTATGCATTCCCTCCGGTTTCTCTGCTACCACAGGTGCTTCAGAGAATCAGGGAAACACGCCACTCGGTGCTCCTCA